GGCCTGCCGCCCCTCCGGGCCGCCCCGCCCGCTGAGGGGAGAGGCCTCCGGGCCAGGAAGAGGCCTCTGGGCCGCCCCGCTCGCTGAGGGGAGAAGAGGCAGCGCCTCAGGGCCGCGCGGAGCCCCCCGGCGATCCGCTGAGGTAGCGGTGGTTCCCGGGCAGCCGGTGCTGGGCCCAGGCCCGTTCCCGTGAGCTGGGCTGGCCCAGGAGGGGTGCGGATCCCGTGCTTCTTGCCGCGGGGGTCTGTTTTGCTGGCCTGTCTGTACTGCCGAGGCCGCGGGCACGTATTTTCATTCATCCGGAGGATGAGAGCAGCGCCGTGTTGTGCGGGGTGTGTTGTAACGCGTCAGAGGTTTATTCCCGTGCGTTCTTCAGTCCATGTTTCGTTTCACAAGAAGTGCTTGTGCTTTCCTGGTAATCGGGCATCTGATCGTATCCTGAAGGGATGTGTGGAGGAATGCGAGGCTTGGTTATCATGACATAGAAAATGACCCTAGAGAACCTGCCATCAACTCAAGAAAGTGCCTCTGTTTTAAGAGATAACAACATAGATATTTTGAACCAATAAACTCGGTTGCAACCTTTTTATTCTGAACATTTCGTCTTTGTGCTGGAATTGATTTGAAAGTGAAATTAATAAACAGCAACATGATTATTTCTATTTTAAAAATATAAACTCTAGAGAAATGGTATGATGAAATAGAAAGAAAAATAATTGTTATAGTCTCAGGATCTTATCACTGCCATGTCCAGGGTGTGTAGTACAGAAATACCTAAAGAGGGTCCAGCCCAGTGTTGCATATCAAGGTACCACATGATAGTATCCTGAAAACAACAACATTGTATTAGCAAAGTTCTGGGCACACACTTCATCTCTGGTTGGTTTATCCCAAGCCTTTTGATTTATTAGTGTGAGGGATGAGTCTAGCACATTTGGAGCTGAGCAACCCCACAATACTAGACATGCAAGGAGATGCTTATGATCTCCAGTTTCTGCAGAGAACAGGACTGTGATCAGCATTAACCAAGCTAATATTACATTACCCTTAGGAGAGCCAATACTCTTGAGCTGTTTGCTACCCTGCTTCTCCCCTTTCTGCAGTTATAGCTGTGAAATAAGTTGAATCTGGTCACACGTACAACGTAGAGGAGGAATGCATGACTGGACTGAATGGGAGGGCATATCAATCTTTTCTGGCAGCACTCTGCAGTTAAATCTGCTAAAGCTAAACAAAACTAACGTTATCTACTCCCACATCTCTGTGCTCTGTATCCTTGAGGATACACATGTAAGCCAAAAATATGATTTTACCTGCTCTGGCAGGGGGGTTGGACCAGATGATCTCTCGAGGTCCCTTCCAGCCCCTAAGATTCTATGAAACAGTGCTTAACTGAGCTATCTGTACAGGCTAGTATTTGCAGATATATGAAAAGTTATTTTCTGTGTTTTTTTAAAGTCTTGACTTATACTAGAGAAGGTCATACACAATGTGTTTGGTGCTTTTTAAGTATGAGATTCATGCTAGAAGAAAAATGCTAATCAATACTTAGAAGATTACCAGTGTCTTTAAGATCCTTTTTCTCCATAGTCACCTTTGATTGCTAACTTAATTAATTTTACCTGCCCTAACATAATGCTTAATACTGGGCAACAGCACTATCCAAATTACATTAAAAGAGAACTCAGCATTTAAATTTACAAGTTTTTGCTTTACATTTTCATTTTGTTATTAACATTTTCTTTTTCAAAAGTGTTACAATTTGAACCTGATTTTCTGTTTTATTAAATTCCGCTACTTGCAGTGGGGTCTTTTTGAGACTATTGGCAGCTAATAAATTTGCTTTTTCCCCCTGTGACCAGTTTATGAGGGAATTTACAGCATTCAAATGGCCAGCCCTGCACGCACAATGCAGTGGAGTATCCTTGCTGCTGTCTAAGGCATTAATGGCTGCCCTGTAGCTCAGTAATAGATTTATCAAGTCACTGTGTCCATATTCTGCTGCAATGTGTAGTGGGGTCTTTCTCCAGATGTTTCTGTCATCAATCTTTTTGTACTTCCCTGATGTCAGAAGAATTGTTGCCATCTTTGTGTTCCCTTTGATGGCTGCATAGTGCATCGGAGTACATCCATCCATGTCCTTAGCTCCAAATCTTCCTTTTTTGGCTAACAGAACTTCCACAACACTGAGATGTCCTCTCATAGCTGCAACGTGCAAGGGAGTCTTTTTCTCCTTGTCTTGTGCATTGGGGTCAGCATTAGCATTCAGAAGCATCTCTACCATTGTTTTGTCTCCCCTTTCAGCAGCAAAATGTAACGGTGATTTTGACTGCTTATCCTTAAGATTAACATTGGCTTTGTGGTGCAACAGCTGCTGGGCAACCTCAGTGTTACCTCTTTGACTTGCAATATGCAGGGGAGTAACAAACTCTTTAGTGACAGCATTAATTTTGGCCCCAGCATTAACTAAAAGGCCAACCAATGCTCCTCTGTTATGAAGTGCAGCAACGTGAAGCGGAGTTTCATCGGCTTCGTTCGTAATGTTAACATCCATCCCTTTGTGGAGAAGCAGATTTGTGATGGAAGCAGCCCCAGCTTGAACTGCCACATGCAAAGCTGTGTCTGAAGCAGGAGTCTTTACTCCAAAGTTTGCTCCCTTTTTGATTAGAACTTCTGCTGATTCAGCTTTGCCTCTTTCACACGCCAGGAGTAAAGGAGTGTACTGCATTTCATTGTAGGCATTTATATCTGTTCCTCTGTCAATTAAGGCTGCTACAAGACCATGCAGATTTTGCTGCACAGCTCTAAAAAGAGCTGACTCCTTAATGTCAGATGACAAATCTTTAGAATATTCCAGTAGTATTTTGAAGATGTTTGGGTGGTTGCTGTTGAAGGCTCTTTCCACCATTTTGGAATCAACACTGCCTCCAGCTTCTAGCAGTACTTTTGCAGTATTTTCAGACCCCTGAGAAACAGCATAACTGAGAGCAGTCTGTCCTCTTTCATCCTTTCCATCAGTAGAGGCACCAGCCTTTAAAAGCATATTTGCCAGTCTGCTCTCATCTTTAAGGGCTGCCATGTGCAAAAAGTTGTGCTGGTTCCTGTAGCTTCTTGCCTCTTCTTTCAGAAGCATCTTCAATACATGAGTGTGGTTATTCTGTGCAGCCAAATGAAGTGGTGTCTTGCCTTCTGTATCCAGACTGTACAAATAAGCTCCACGTCGGAGAAGCACTTTCACTGCATCACTGTGGCCTTTCTCAGCAGCCCTGTGCAGTGGTGTTCTTCCTTTCTTGTCCTTCACATCTATCTTTGCACCTTTGGTGATCAAATATTCCACTATAGTTAGATGTCCATGAGCAGCTGCAACATGCAGAAGTGTTTCACTGGAAGAGTTTTGTGCATGAATATCATTATCTTTCAATGTTTTCTCTAGCTCAGAAAGATAGCCTTTAGCAACTGCATCAAAGATGTCAACAGCAGCCTGATTTTTTCTATTTTTTGCTGTCCTTGAAAGTTGAGTTTCTTTTCCTTTCTTCTTAATTCTTTCCTGCCTTTTTCTTCTAGGACTGACTTTTTTTTCCTGGTGCTGGTCATTGCTATTTTCAACCCAAAACTTATCTTTTTCAAGTAAGTATCCTACTAGTTGTCTTCTAGCATCTCCAATCCTTTCATTTACTTCACTGACATATTTCCTCATCTTACGATAAAGTTTTGGCTCCACTTGCTTTAAACATGGGTAGAAAAAGAGCCTGCAGGCTCGTTCACCTTGAGAAATTAGCATGTCTAGAACTCGTGAGTTCTTTTCTGTTCGTGTCCTGTAGGAACTCATGACCATCTTTTTTTCTGGGGTAAAAATACAGTTGTCTATCAGCCAGTTCAGGAGATGGTCTGGGTCATTTATGCCATCTACTAGCTCTTCTTTTTTAGTCCTTAGGACTTCAATTGCATATGGATTTGTAAACAGGCTGCTTGAATGCATGATCAAGCTACTAATCAATAAGTGAACTATTATTTGATGTTTGAAGTTAAATATGAAATAGTAGAGCAGGCTCACATTGTTTCACATATTCATTTCATAGAATTAGGAACCAACAGCTGTTGCAGTTCAGTGATAAATCTTTTAAAAATGAGAAAGAAATAACAACTTCCCCACCTTTGTTTTTCTAGTTGTTAGAAGTCCTTTGATCTTCCCCGTTCTTCCTTAGCAACAACAAAAGTTCAGCAGCAAAACAAAAATCTGTGATACGCAATGATACTTCACTTTAAAGATTTCTTCCAGACTTTTTACATTTAATTAGGGAGAAAAAAAATACGTTTTAGTGAGTCTGGTATTTCAATAGAAGATAAGTGTTGATTGAGTTCCCCTGTTCCTCTGGCCAAGCTGTAGGTGCCTAAATGACCTGTCTGTTAAACGTGACAAAAGAAAATCCACAGCATAGTTACTGTTGCCATGATTACACACCTTGTATGATCTTAAATGAAAGAGTACACATTGCCAGCTACATAGGTAAAAGCCCTATAATGTAATGAAATAAAAACATAAAGATAAAAATAAACCATGTAAGTGGCTAGTTATAAAAGTGATCCAGCCTTTCTAATAGGAGTTACAACTTCAGTCTAGGAGGTGTATTTAACTTAAAGGCTATTTAGCTTGTCATTTCTGCTGTAACATGGAGTCTGTCTGGAACTTAATTCATTTACATGCGGTGGATCAAGGCGTGTGATTCAGTATGCAACATTTAAAGTAGAATTCAATAGAGCTTCAAATCTGTGAATGTGTATAGTCTTCAGTATGAGTGTAGGACCTTTGAATCTAGCTGTAATTATTTTAACTTATTGGTGTTAAAATTCCTCATGGAGAGAAGGAAATAAAATAATAATCACCTACACATTTTGAAACCAATTGAGAGAGAAATTGAGATTACAGAGTTCTGTGAGAGCTAGAAGTAAAATGTGCTGAAAAGCTGAAAGCTTCACCTTATTTAAGCAAATGGGAAATTTGCCATCTGTTTCTTAGTTTAGTGCCCTTTCTGTTGGGTCCTGCTGCCTTTGCATGTATTTTCTTAAATAGTATGTACAATGTGACTGATAAGATTTTTTTTTTTTTCTGTTGACTTCAGTTTTATAAGTAAGATCAGAAAGCTTGTTCTATTAAGATTAATTTGAAGAAATAGCCAGGAAAGGCAAGACTTTTAATATAGATTTTGAAAGCCAGCCAGTTACCAAGTCAGCAAAGTTGACAGCCAATTTAAGAGTCTAGTAATTCCTCTGAAATGCAAAGAAGGTCACTACACCAAGAACAGCAAAACCTTTGTCATTTACTTAATGGTTGTTAACACATAACGTGGAAAACTATGGCTTATTGTATAGGGAGTCAGGTGGTCTGAATTGTGTTCCCAAATCTGCTAATGACTCGGTCTGTGATCTGCAAATTAGTTAGTCTTCATATTTGACTTTGCAAAGTCCTGAAGATCTATTTGTGTCCCGAGTAAATTAATAGTCCTTACTTAAAGTTTGGTAACGGGGAAACTATGGCTTATTGTATAGGGAGTCAGGTGGTCTGAATTGTGTTCCCAAATCTGCTAATGACTCGGTCTGTGATCTGCAAATTAGTTAGTCTTCATATTTGACTTTGCAAAGTCCTGAAGATCTATTTGTGTCCCGAGTAAATTAATAGTCCTTACTTAAAGTTTGGTTAAATTGAATCTTTATGACATCATTGTTATTGTTCCCATGGAAAACAGAGATAGCAATACTTGATTACCTTCAAAGGGAAGTTTGGAGTTCTGGCAATGGAAAATGTTATGTGAGTACTAAGCAATATTGTTAATATGGACAGCACAAGAATTTTTTGAGCTTCTGAAAAAATTTTTAAAAGAAATTGGGATATTCTTTAAGAGTCTGTTAGTATGGCATGAATTTCCTAGTTTTCTGAATACAGGAATTGTACTAGTAGATAATAGAGATGAAAGGGTGCAGTACTCCCAACTGGCCTGAAGGAGGAACGTTTGAACAATGTATGCGGGCACCACCTCTTAGAGCCACTGTGGGACTTTATTTTGGAAAAATAACATGCAGCAAATTACTTGTTATTAGATACAAATGTAATTATGCTTTTTTATAAAAAGGTTCTTTATTATAAGTATGTCACTTATGAGGAAATTCTGTCTTAAAACAAGTATCCCACTTGCCAAGAAAATTTTGGAAGCTTGTATGGATTCCATTTTAGATACTATGTTTTTTTAAATTTTATTTTTTAATTAGTGTTTTGACTACTTCTAGAATTAAGCCTTTGTCCCACCAGTGAGTTCACAAAAATATTAAAACAAACGGTTGAGATTCAGAATTGCCTATTTGAAGCATGGTTTTTGTTTATAACTTTTACATTTACTAACTCTACTTGTTTGACATACCAATATTTTAGAGAAGAGAAAAGTATTTAGGTTCCACACCTCTTCTCCTTTAATTAAGTGCATGTGGGATCATCAGGAAGCTCTTCATTAAAAATAAGAATGGCAACATTTAGTATTACTAAAGATTTAAGGAAAGAACTTGGAGAGAGGAAGAGGCAAATCTTTGGCCTTCTTTCTTATTTTTAAAATGTATTTGTTGTCAGAGGGGTATAAGGTGATTTTCTTTTCCTTGCTGAGTATTTTACTGGCCACTTTATTTAGCTCCATGTGTCCAAGCACTCTTCCTTCTTAGGTTATTTTGAAAATAAAATGATGGCTTCTGTCTTCTTTATCAGATAGCAGTTAAATATCTTTGTGTTCGGCATCATGGGTATACAGCCGGGATGTACAGCAGATCAGCTCATGTGCATTGAGGGAGTTTTACATTTTACCTTGGAAGGAGGTAGTAAAAATTTTGATTGGTACTAGTGTAGGTTCAGCTTCAACAGTGTCATCAGAGAAACTGCACATTATAGGTGTGCTGATTGTATTTTAATTCAGTGTGTTGTTGAGAAACCTGTAGTGAGTAGATTGTCTTGAGAGAGAAATACTGAAAAACTTCACATAGACTGCGTAAGCTCTAATAGAATTGTTAAATGCAGAAGCAAGACTGTGTAAGATCACCTTAATTCAGATAGATCTACGTGCACTCAGCACTAATTTTATGGGAGGATATCAGCTGAACACATGGTAGAGTTTAGAGCAGACCTGAGAAAGGGCAGGTGATGCTATTGATAGGGAAGATCCCTGTTTTGGCCTCTGCTGAACAAGTGTTGGTACATGCATCATCTGCTTACTGCTTTAACCCAGCTGTAGCTGCTTTGAGAAAGGAGGCTTGAGCCAGTTATTTCTGACATGCAATCTCAGTTTTGCTACTAACTTGTGTCCTTGGGCAAATCATTTAATCTCAGTGCCCTGTTTACACAAGCATTAAAAAAAGATTTTTTTTTTCTACCTCACAGACACGTCCTGAGTGTTTATTAATATTGGTGCAGTGCTTTGAAGTTACAGTGCTTTGAAGGTTTTGTCCTTTGAAGTGTTGTTTTTTGACTTCTCAAAGATGAGCATTTATTTCTTAAATTAACACGTGCCCGTGTTTTCTAGCTTATTTTATGTTGCTATGTCATCACCAAATAGGCAGTTAATTTTCTCTATTTTAATTTGTCAAAGATGAAAGCAACCCAAACTGCGCCTCGCTTGTTGCTAAATGACCATGTGAGGTGAGGTGGCCCTGGGAGGGAGGAACCTGCAGAGGTCACCAGTTCTCCACTGAGACTTTCCTCTCTACGCTGCAGCAGTGGGTACCTCTCTGCTGAAACGGCATCTGATGCAACTGAACGACTTCCAGTAACTTCTTATGTTCTCTAGGTCATTTTCTGATAATATTGATGGAAAGCCAAACATTAACTCACCGTGATATTTTTTTATATTTCCCAATGTGTACTTCAATTTCATTTAAGGCAATTGTTTGCAGTAATGCCAACTGTTTATTTGGAACATATCTTGCTGTAGAGTAACTAGTCTGTGAGAGATAATAAAGCCAGCATCATTATGTAAGCATCATGAGTGACAGAGAAATACATCTGGGCAATCAAGGCATCCTTATTAATAAACATGGCTCAGGAATAAAGCTTTGTTTTGGATAATCAGAAATCTAAGTGTGGCCTAGCTGGTTGAGGTTAAACTATATTTAGGTATAGGTAGACTGAGGAACAACAGTGTTAGAAATGTTCATGATGATGATTAGAGTCTACTTGACTTACATTATAAGACTGGAAGAGAAGCTAAGTAGTCAGTGTGTCTGCAAGAGAGACAAAATCTAGTGCTCAGTTTTGCCTCAAGATGAACTGCAGTGCCTTAGGGAAGTCAAAAGGAGAGCTTTGGCACTGAGTGATCTTGTTTATGTTAATCATATTTCTGTAGAGAATAGGCTTGAGGCCTTCCTGGTGCTGAGAAATCCCTACCTTGGCTGATATTTAAAGCTGAGGTGTTCCCTAGAGTAGTGCCAACCCCTGAGAGGTATTGGCACACACAGAACATGCAAATCATAAGGGGCCTGAGCAGGGGCCTGCTGGAGGGAGGGACAAGCTGATCTGTCCAGTCTTGTGTTTTGCATCTCAGAGTAGCCCAGTGGGCTCTTACCCTCTCTGCAACTCGTGTTGGCAGGATCTAACCACCCCTGCAGAGCCCTGTGCCAGGTCCTGTAGTTGGAAGAGGTACCTCTTGGCAGGCTTTGTCCACTTTTCATGGATGCTTTCAAAATACTAAGTAATAATACAACAGCTGATATAATAACTCCGGTATTTTATCTATTTCCAGTACAAGTCACAATGTTATTCCAACACTATAGAACTATTTCCTCAAGTATAAACAAATGACAATTGTGTTAAGTGCAGAATGTTCTTTTTTCCAAAGACTAGCGTGTACTTTTATGAAGTTCCTAAACTTGGGTAATTGTAAATGGATAATACACATCTGCAAAGTGCCACTGGTGGCTGTAAATGCTGACAGAGCAGGTTACCTGGAT